ACTATAGTCATTCACAGGTGAGAGGCACTATAGTCACTCACAGGTGAGAGGCACTATAATCACTCACAGGTGAGAGGAATATACTTCACAACACCTACGGCCAATACCCACGCCTGTTACGCCTATTGTAGTAGCCTAATCTTCATCTTTCATACTCCACAACACAGTTTCAAATGTAGATGTATCGAGAGCCCCTTAATCTACGGCGCCTATCATGGCAGAGATGAGTACTCACCGAGTACTCACCTAGTACTCTATGAGTGGTTGGATCCCAGCGTGGAGTCAAGTAGAACCAGGCCGGTACTCTCTCTCTTTATTTTACTCGTGTGACGAGTTTCAAAGGAACCAAACGAAAATGAAAGGGGTTTATATTGTCACGTTTTGAAAGCTTAACAATGTTGACTACAGCTGTACACCTTTTGCATATTTGTGTGTGTGTGTTGGAGGGAAGGTAGGGGGGGTGATGGAGGGAAGGTAGGGGGTGATGGAGGGAGGGTAGGGGGGTGATGGAGGGAAGGTAGGGGGGGTGATGGAGGGAAGGTAGGGGGGTGATGGAGGGAAGGTAGGGGGTGATGGAGGGAAGGTAGGGGGGGTGATGGAGGTAACGTAGGGGTGTTGGAGGGAAGGTAGGGGGTGATGGAGGGAACGTAGGGGTGATGGAGGGAACGTAGGGGTTACGGAGGCAATCCGCCCCCCATTACCCGTCAACCCGTCTAAGTAACCTGTCTCAGCCGTCACCACCACCACCGTCCACGGCGTGGGGAACCTTAACCACCCTCCAGTTTGAGAAAGATCAACAAATGTGAGACTTGAGCCCAAATGACTCGCAACTCCAGGGAGATCACTCGCTGCCTTTGTCGACTTAATTAAGCTTACCTGTAATAAAAATCTCCCTAATTAAGCTTACCTGTAATAAAAACTCGCGATTGCTTTGTTAATTCAGCGAATGTAATATTGCACCAGGATAATAGCCCTATCCACTGTTGTTCAAGTTATAAACCGAGGCTCGCTTGCTCGATCAACAAACGGTGCCCTTGTAAATATTTACTCATTTCAACGTCATTCATCTCGGGATTGTTTTTCGAACGCTTCTTAACCGGCCTACGATTCAGACTGTTATAACGTAACTGGAAATGGATCCATCTATCCATCTATAATATCCACAAGGAAGTGGATAGACGCCTTCAAATATCCAACATTGTTTCAACTCATTTTGTATCTATGTACTTTTATCTGAATAAACATTATATTATTATTATTATTATTATTATTATTAAACAACGGGTAAATGAATAGAGAAGCCAAAACCCATATTAGAAGATATTAAGAAAAATGGTGTAACCACTATCCACTATCAGCTCAATATAAAACAGAATAATTAGAAAGAATAATTAAAAATATAATTTCAAGTACAGAGTAACAGAATCAGACCAGAGATTGGAATTAATTATTTACTACAAAACAAAATGAACAGCTAATCTACTTTTATTTTTTATGACCACCATAAAGCTGTATACACGACTGACGTGCCATCTACAGGCTGTCTGGAAGACTGACCTGCCATCTACAGGCTGTCTGGAAGACTGACCTGCCATCTACAGGCTGTCTGGAAGACTGACCTGCCATCTACAGGCTGTCTGGAAGACTGACCTGCCATCTACAGGCTGTCTAGAAGACTGACCTGCCATCTGCAGGCTGTCTGGAAGACTGACCTGCCATCTACAGGCTGTCTGGAAGACTGACCTGCCATCTACACGCTGTCTGGAAGACTGACCTGCCATCTACAGGCTGTCTGGAAGACTGACCTGCCATCTACAGGCTGTCTGGAAGACTGACCTGCCATCAACAAGCTGGTGCCCCTAGAAACCATATGCAAAGTGCATACAACACTCGCTAGGAAGAAGCTAGTAGGTGATAGAACAATCCTGGCAGCCACCACTGACCAAAGAATGCAAATCCTGGAAGTTATACCCATAAACGCAGAGAGAGACAAAGCCTAAATATACAAAGTAACGACCTTGCCTACACTCAGATCTAGATCTCACCAAATAGCACCTAATAAAGATGATATCTCTATCGACTTCTCCCCCGCCCACTGCTTTATCCAATGTTTGACTCATTTATTCCCCATTATTCCCCGAGAGCGCCTATCAACTGTTACAGCTCCGCTCCTGTGGCATGTCAAGTCCACTACGGGCTCGCCATAGCCCGTGCTACTTGGAACGCTTTGTTCCCAGTAGCTGAATCTTAATCATCATTATCTTATCAACTCGTTCAACCCGGGTGCTTCCGGAAGCACCACCACCCAAATACGAGGTCCCAGGCGAACCGAATCATCCACCGTTCCCAAGCGAGGAACATGATTTAAGATGCACCCAATAAAAAAAACGTAGACTCGGCCTCTTCTCTAACGACGTGTTTAGGAAGGAGAAAGAACTGGATCGGAATGCGACAATGACTATGGTCATACTGACACTGCGACACAACCGTCCTCAATCCAGGGGGATCAACACTGACCCAAGGGGGGGGGGGGTCAACACTGACCCCAAAGGGGTCAACACTGACCCAGGGGGGTCCAACACTGACCCAGGGGGGGGGGTCAACACTGACCCCAGGGGGGTCAACACTGACCCAGGGGGGTCCAACACTGACCCAGGGGGAGGGTCAACACTGACCCAGGACACGTCCAGCCAGCCGCCCCTGAAATGAGGCGCAGTCAACCCCAAAGAAAGAAGCAGGTAAAGACTGCTTCTTTATTCTTTCCCAACTAGCGAGAACGAAGAATATGATTGAAGAAGGAAGACCACCTACAGAAGGAAGAAGAAGGTTCCTATGAAGGAACCACAAGACTGGTAGCCTCTCTTCCTTCCCTTCTTTAGTGGGTCGTAATTACTACCTCCCGGTGGATACATCTTATCCACCGCTGAGATCCACTTCACAAGACCCCTAGGGAGCAGGGAGACGGCAGTCTGCACCTCCTACAGGTCCGCACCTTCTAGGCCAGGAGCTAGATTCACGAAGCAGTTACGCAAGCACTTACGAACCTGTACATCTTTTCTCAATCTTTGGCGGCTTTGTTTACAATTATTAAACAGTTAATGAGCTCCGAAGCACCAGGAGGCTGTTTATAATAATAACAACAGTTGATTGGGTGTTTTTCATACTTGTAAACTGTTTTATAAATGTAACCAAAACCATCAAAGATTGAGTTAAGATGTACAAGTTCGTAAGTACTTGTGTAACTGCTTCGTGAATCTGGCCCCAGATGTGTAAGCCTCGACGCGCCTCGCCATGCACCCGGGTCGAGCCCGGCCACTTCGACTATAAAAGCTTCCTCTTCAAGGACCCACTTCCTGGCTCACCCCATGTCCAACCACTTGGACTGGACGGTAGAGCAACGGTCTCGCTTCATGCAGGTCGGCGTTCAATCCCCCCCAACCGTCCACAAAACGTTGGGTACCATTCCTTTCACCCCGTCTTATCCTAAATCCTTTTCCTCATCAAATATTGGGAGGAAAAACACGACACTATTCCTAGACCTGTCAAATTTTCTTCAGGGACGTGATGAGGGTTGCAATAGATTTGTTGCAACCTTCAACACTTTTCACTTTCAATAATCTGATTATTATGAAAGATAATCAACTTCCTGTTGCATTTTTTCCCGACAGACAAAGATTAACTTTCCAAATACACGAGACCTCCCTGAATTACGGTCATAATTACAATTTATTCAAAATGCAAGTTAATATATTGTTTTTTGTAATCGACGTTAACATAGAATACGTTATTAAGACAACCTAGGAGTTTTTACCGGAGACTGTTATATATTCACGTGACGAGGTTGTGATATACCATATATATGTCATATATAAATGTGACGAGGTAATTCGCGTGGTTGGCAGAACACAAGCGACCATATACACCCTGGTAGAACACAAGCGACCATATACACCCTGGTAGAACACAAGCGACCAGACACCCTGGTAGAACACAAGCGACCATATACACCCTGGTAGAACACAAGCGACCATATACACCCTGGCAGAACACAAGCGACTATATACACCCTGGTAGAACACAAGCGACCATATACACCCTGGTAGAACACAAGCGACCATATACACCCTGGCAGAACACAAGCGACCAGACACCCTGGTAGAACACAAGCGACCATATACACCCTGGTAGAACACAAGCGACCATATACACCCTGGTAGAACACAAGCGACCATATACACCCTGGTAGAACACAAGCGACCATATACACCCTGGCAGAACACAAGCGACTATATACACCCTGGTAGAACACAAGCGACCATATACACCCTGGTAGAACACAAGCGACCATATACACCCTGGCAGAACACAAGCGACCAGACACCCTGGTAGAACACAAGCGACCAGACACCCTGGTAGAACACAAGCGACCAGACACCCTGGTAGAACACAAGCGACCAGACACCCTGGTAGAACACAAGCGACCAGACACCCTGGTAGAACACAAGCGACCATATACACCCTGGTAGAACACAAGCGACCATATACACCCTGGCAGAACACAAGCGACCATATACACCCTGGTAGAACACAAGCGACCATATACACCCTGGTAGAACACAAGCGACCATATACACCCTGGTAGAACACAAGCGACCAGACACCCTGGTAGAACACAAGCGACCATATACACCCTGGTAGAACACAAGCGACCATATACACCCTGGTAGAACACAAGCGACCATATACACCCTGGTAGAACACAAGCGACCATATACACCCTGGTAGAACACAAGCGACCAGACACCCTGGTAGAACACAAGCGACCAGACACCCTGGTAGAACACAAGCGACCATATACACCCTGGTAGAACACAAGCGACCAGACACCCTGGTAGAACACAAGCGACCATATACACCCTGGTAGAACACAAGCGACCATATACACCCTGGTAGAACACAAGCGACCAGACACCTTGGTAGAACACAAGCGACCAGACACCTTAACTAAGCTGAAAGGAACATTTAAGAATTATCAGGAATATTACTGTACAGGAAAGCGCTGTCAAAGGTTTCATTGGCAAGTTCTAAGGTTTTAATTTGAGAAGTTAACGACGTATCGACCGCGTATTTACCCGCTTGGCGGCGGCTTGGCAGCTGGCGGCGGCTTGGCAGCTGGCGGCGGCTTGGCAGCTGACGGCGGCCAACTCGGAGCTGCTGCTAATGAAACGTGTAGGGAATGTAAGCTTTGATACGTTAGAAATTCAGAAATTATATATATAGGAGCCTCACCACAGCCGGTTGTCCAGCAGAGAGAGAACCTCGTTACCTAATGCCTCGCAACTATGTTGGAGTCGCTAGGACAAGAGGACAGCTGGAATATGTAGGATTTCCCAGGTGGTGGTGGAGTCACATGACAGCTTATTCAAATTATTCGAAAATTTGAAATTAAAAAAAATCGAAATTATTCAAAATTTGCTTATTAAACAAATTATTCCGGACAAATGAGGTGTAGAGATAGTGTCGAGAATTCTTCCTCGCGCAGATAGATAAAAGATATCTTTTATATAGATAATTCCAAAGGCGAGTGATGGACAATAGAGCTGAAAATTTTACTTTAAGTTTAAATTTCGAAATTTCTCATTAGAGACTAGTAAGTAAGACTTTCTAGAAAGTAGGAGACTCACGATTGAATTCTCTTACGGAAGTCAAATATTTAGTGTTCCTTGTGAGAAACCAACTTGTTCTATACGAGTGAACTAGCCAAGTACCGCGCACTGGTTTACCTGTTACCGTGTGGCCAGGAGCTGTGGTCCACCACAGTACGTGTGGCCCAGGCTGCTCCACCACAGTACGTGTGGCCCAGGCTGCTCCACCACAGTACGTGTGGCCCAGGCTGCTCCACCACAGTACGTGTGGCCCAGGCTGCTCCACCACAGTACACGTGTGGCCCAGGCTGCTCCACCACAGTACGTGTGGCCCAGGCTGCTCCACCACAGCACACGTGTGGCCCAGGCTGCTCCACCACAGCACACGTGTGGCCCAGGCTGCTCCACCACAGCACACGTGTGGCCCAGGCTGCTCCACCACAGCACACGTGTGGCCCAGGCTGCTCCACCACAGCACACGTGTGGCCCAGGCTGCTCCACCACAGCACACGTGTGGCCCAGGCTGCTCCACCACAGCACACGTGTGGCCCAGGCTGCTCCACCACAGCACACGTGTGGCCCAGGCTGCTCCACCACAGCACACGTGTGGCCCAGGCTGCTCCACCACAGCACACGTGTGGTCCAGGCTGCTCCACCACAGCACACGTGTGGCCCAGGCTGCTCCACCACAGCACACGTGTGGCCCAGGCTGCTCCACCACCGCACACGTGTGACCCAGGCTGCTCCACCACAGCACACGTGTGGCCCAGGCTGCTCCACCACAGTACGTGTGGCCCAGGCTGCTCCACCACAGCACACGTGTGGTCCAGGCTGCTCCACCACAGCACACGTGTGGCCCAGGCTGCTCCACCACAGCACACGTGTGGTCCAGGCTGCTCCACCACAGCACACGTGTGGCCCAGGCTGCTCCACCACAGCACACGTGTGGTCCAGGCTGCTCCACCACAGCACACGTGTGGCCCAGGCTGCTCCACCACACACAAGCAGGTTATCAGTCACACCACACAAGGTGTGACAGAGACGCCACGTGCTTGCCACAACAAAAGTCTCCACCTTCCACCAACAACAAAAATCTCTAGGATTGGGTTTAAAAATTCATGACTGACAAAAACAGATCTAACCTTGCATCAAGCATTTATGAAAGTTTGAAAATCTCACAAAAACACAAAGTTTTTGGGAAAAGTTGAGAAAATGAAGCGAGGCAGAGACTGAACATCATGACTTCCTTATAGATACATTGAGCCTCAATGGGGGGTCCTACCCCCCCTCTCCCCCCCCCTCAATAATGTCTCTACCTAGGAGTTTCCTCACCAATAAAATATCCTCAAAGCATCGCCATTTATCCACAATATTTACTAATTGCCACTTAAATAAAAACGGAAAATTACAGTTGCATATAAAATATAACTCGTGGTCCTGAGTATAAAGTTTCTTGGAGTGTTCCTCTCCAGGCGAGGGGACCACCTGCAGTCCTCTAAGGAAAAAAACTAACACAATACGCGCATCTGTTTGTGCATTGGAAGCCCCTAACAGCGTCGTTCATACCTAAATTGCGACGCCACACAATGGTGAGTTCGCTCTTCCAGAAATTTACAACGGCAATTTCTTCTCAATATTGGGAGGGCAGAATGCCAGGGTGATACTAAGACTGGTAGCCACAGTTCTCACCTGCCTCACGCCGATATCTTGTGGCTGATGGCCCCCTGGGGCGCGCTGGGGGCTAGTTCTCAGGGTTCCAGTCACTTCCCAGAGGGTGTGGGACGACTCTGTCTTTGTCTGTCTCTCTGTCTCTCTGTCTCTGTGTGACGCGGTTAAATCTGTGTCACACTTAAACTGGACCCTGTAACTAGCGTGACCCTCTCCCAGTTTAAGATGTGTTCTAAACAGGTTTACGTTTTCACCGGCAGTACCAATGTATGAGTGAGACACTGAAGGTGGGGGCAGACAGGAAGGTGCGACCACTTACGACCACAGACAGACGTGACCACTTACATCATCAATGGGAAAACCTTCATTATCCTCTCCCACCTCACGAAAAAAATCTAAAGGTAATTAAATCAATTATAATTAAATTCATCACTGACAGCTGAATTGTATAAATTTTCAACTCGCAAAAATATTCAGTAGATAAAAATATGCATCTTGTCGAGACTGTGTTAGTCACCTACCTCCGTGAGTTTAGCATCATTATATGAATTAGCTAAATGAGATATTTCAGCTAGTATATCTGCACAGACGCTGTTCCTGATGCAACACAGCTGTTGCTGTCAGGAACAGCAACAGCAAATGTCTGTCAGGACAGACAGTTGTCTATCAACTGTGGTGTGATAGTTAAACTCTGGCACAGTGCCACTGTCAGCTGTGGTGTGATAGTTAAACTCTGGCACAGTGCCACTGTCAGCTGTGGTGTGATAGTTAAACTCTGGTACAGTGCCACTGTCAGCTGTGGTGTGATAGTTAAACTCTGGCACAGTGCCACTGTCAACTGTGGTGTGATAGTTAAACTCTGGCACAGTGCCACTGTCAACTGTGGTGTAATAGTTAAACTCTGGCACAGTGCCACTGTCAGCTGTGGTGTGATAGTTAAACTCTGGCACAGTGCCACTGTCAACTGTGGTGTGATAGTTAAACTCTGGCACAGTGCCACTGTCAGCTGTGGTGTGATAGTTAAACTCTGGCACAGTGCCACTGTCAACTGTGGTGTGATAGTTAAACTCTGGCACAGTGCCACTGTCAGCTGTGGTGTGATAGTTAAACTCTGGCACAGTGCCACTGTCAACTGTGGTGTGATAGTTAAACTCTGGCACAGTGCCACTGTCAACTGTGGTGTAATAGTTAAACTCTGGCACAGTGCCACTGTCAGCTGTGGTGTGATAGTTAAACTCTGGCACAGTGCCACTGTCAACTGTGGTGTGATAGTTAAACTCTGGCACAGTGCCACTGTCAGCTGTGGTGTGATAGTTAAACTCTGGCACAGTGCCACTGTCAACTGTGGTGTGATAGTTAAACTCTGGCACAGTGCCACTGTCAACTGTGGTGTGATAGTTAAACTCTGGCACAGTGCCACTGTCAACTGTGGTGTAATAGTTAAACTCTGGCACAGTGCCACTGTCAACTGTGGTATAATAGTTAAACTCTGGCACAGTGCCACTGTCAGCTGTGGTGTAATAGTTAAACTCTGGCACAGTGCCACTGTCAGCTGTGGTGTAATAGTTAAACTCTGGCACAGTGCCACTGTCAACTGTGGTGTAATAGTTAAACTCTGGCACAGTGCCACTGTCAGCTGTGGTGTAATAGTTAAACTCTGGCACAGTGCCACTGTCAGCTGTGGTGTAATAGTTAAACTCTGGCACAGTGCCACTGTCAGCTGTGGTGCGATAGTTGACCTCTGGCACAGTGCCATGACCAGGTCGACATCTCTCATTCTACCTCTTAGTTCACACCCATTATAAATCAATTATTCTCTATCCACCTCTCATAGCCTTCCCTTGTCCCTCTCCTCCACACTACCATCCACAGTTGTTCTCAGTGAACTATCCCCATCACTCCTCTGCGTCACCTTCCATTCCGTCAACCCCAATATCATCCCCATTCCTCACCCCTTCCACCTCGATACCTCTCCCCTACCCACTCCCCCTTCCTCCTTTCCCCGCAGCTTCACATTCGCTAACAAATTGCTACAGTCTGGTCAAAAGAAAGTTTCTCCATCACTGAAAAGCTCGCAGAGGACATGAAAACCTTTCTGTAAAATTCAATTCTAGTAACACCCCGTTTTCACGTGGTCAGGGGACTTTCTTCTCCAGTTTCCCCGTCACGTGGGGATATTTCCCTACCTTACGAGGCTTCGCCCGACCCCCGTGCTGCTGCCCAAGTTTCCGTCCCTAAGTAAATATTCATCTCTCTTCTTCTTGACATGTTCATGCATTTGTTATGCAATGTTGTTCTCCGGACACTTCAGAATGTGATATATGTTTTCTTGTTTGTTCTCTCTCGCGCTTCGTAATTTTTGTGCTATCGTGCGCCATTGGGCGACAGGACAGTAGGCTACCACCTTCCACTCACCGAGGTCCAAGATAGCAAGTCGACTGGAGGGAATATTGGCCCTTTATAGCCAAGACTTGGGCCACACCTGGGCTGAGAAAGAGGCTTGGGTCCGGGTCTTTAATGTTGAAACTTCACATCTTTTCAATCTCAAAATGAATGAATAAATTTGCCTGACTCTCAATTCACGCCACTATTTTGGAGCCTGAATGATATGGTACACCCAGTGAGATGGCCTGGGTGGGATAACCGTGATATCCTTGCTATCAAACAGACCAGATGGCTGCTCTTTTGTTTTTTTGGTGGGGGGGGAGGGGGAGAAACCACAGGAGCATGAGTGACCACCCTTCATCCCTCCCTACAATTATAGGATTAGCTAGTCGTGGTGTCTAACTTGGTCATTAAACGTTGACCACAAGACCTGATCTCTTGTGTCAAGGTCCAACTTAGCGCGCGCGCGCGCACACACACACACACACACACACACACACACACACACACACACACGCGCACACACACACACACACGCACACACACGCACACACACGCACACACACGCACACACACGCACACACACGCACACACACGCACACACACGCGCACACACACGCGCGCACACACACACACACACACACACACACACACACACACACACACACACACACACACACACACACACACACACACACACACACACACACACTGAAGGTGTAAATGTTCCTTTGTTTAGGGACACTCACTGATGTCACAGTTTCTTGAGGTTATCTTGAGATGATTTCGGGGCTTAGTGTCCCCGCGGCCCGGTCCTCGACCAGGCCTCAACCCCCAGGAAGCAGCCCGTGACAGCTGACTAACACCCAGGTACCAATTTACTGCTAGGTAGCAGGGGCATTCAGGGTGAAAGAAACTTTGCCCATTTGTTTCTGCCTCGTGCGGGAATCGAACCCGCGCCACAGAATTACGAGTCCTGCGCGCTATCCACCAGGCTACGAGGCCCCTTCATGCTAGACTCAACTAAACAACATAGTGTTACAACGCCATGCATCATGGAGGGGGTAACACGCATGGTCTCACCCTGCAACATGGCGAGCAGGCTTTACCTTGCAATGTTTTTAAGCATCAGACATTTGAAAAGTCATGAGACCTGCACTGAGCAGGAAATTTCTCTGTGGTATATCTTCTCCTGACGCACGAACTGCACGCTCACACACACACGCACACACACGAACTCTTACGCATTCGTGTGTGTGTGTGTGCAGACACACGAATGCACTCACACACACACAGGCGGCTGATATAGTGTGGAGTTATAAAGGAGGCGGCTACAGACCAGTATGAATGACAAGTATCTCTTGGAAACAATACACGAACAAGACCTCGAGGAAATTAAGTACATTTTGTAAACAAACAACACGGCTTTTGGGAAGGGAAATCGGGCCTAACGAACCTACAGGAGTTCTATGATAAAGTAACGACAATATGGATAACATAAGGTTGGGCAGCTTCCATATTTCTTTACATGCAAAATGCCTTTGACATGGCACTCTAGTACAGTTTACTTCATTCTCGAATCACAATCCGGGATCCTGGGTTCGCTTGCCGAGTGGGGACAGAAATGGTTGGGCACGTTTCCATTTACCTAATGCTTATATCCCCCTAGCAGTAAATAGCACTGATGTGGGTAATGGAATACCTAACAGACAGGAGTCAGAGTGCCACAGTGGAGCCAGGTTGGAGGAGAGTAACAAGCCGAGTACCTCAGGGATCGGTGCTGGGACCTATATATCATTTCTCAATTATGTTAAATTTTTATCTACTTATGTCGAGTCTTATATTTGAATGTTCACAGACAATGCAAACTTAATGGAAAAAGAGAGAGTTGTGACATGAGGATTGTAAACGTCTCCAAGAGGACTTAAGACACGCTGCAGAGTTGGTTCAACAAATGGCTTCGGGATTTCAACACTTGCAAGTTTAAGGTGAAGGAAATGGCAACAGCTGACGACAGGAGACCAAACGAACGATGCCCAATAAAGGGAAACTACCGACCTGTGACTACTGGAGAGCAACACCTCGGAATGGACATTACACCAAATGCAGGCGATGAGTCACAATAACGTGGCTGAAGTTTGTTGACCAGACCACACACTAGAAGGTGAAGGGACGACGACGTTTCGGACCTGGACCATTCTCAAGTCGATTGTAGGTTCGACATTACACCAAGTCTAATTCCAGACGCACATATAAATATAACAACTTCAACAACATATGCGGGCAAATCAAATCATCATTCGAAAAGCATAATAAGGAGGCATTTAGATCTCTCTCCGCCACCTACGTGAGACCAGTTTTATAGAGTATGCCGCCCCATCTTGGAGCCCCGCTCTTAAAAAGCACACAAGAAACCTGAAAAAGGCGTAGAAGTTTGCAACGAGACTCGACCCAGAGTTGCCAGGGAGAAGGTACGAAGAATGACAAAGAACACGACCTGGCGTCACCCCTGGAAACACAAACCGTAACTGTCTCTATTTTCCGCTTGTTACAACTTGTAATAAAGGTGTTACATCTTGGCTTAACGTGTTTATGACGTATTAGAACGTTGTTACAACTTGCTATATTGGTTGTCATAACTGGTTAGGAGGTATTAAAACTTGTTCGAACGTTGTACCAACGTCGTAGTTTCGGTGTGTGTTTGGGGGGACTAGAGAAGGAAGAGGGAAGACATGACACAGATGTAAGAGGATTGACACAATGGGGAAAAAGAGGAAAGGTTCACAATGAATACCAATAAAACATGGGAACAAGACGGGGGAAGTTTGAGAAGTGGAAGAGACGTATATGGAAGAAAGTTTTCTTTTAGCGTAAGAATAATGAGAGAATGAAATGAACTGCAAAGCAGATTGCAAAAGCTGAACCCTAGTTACAACATCGAAATGGATAACGGAAAAAAAATAGGTCATCAGTCGTTACGTTGTACAACCGGCGGCTAGGAAGACAGGGGGTCCAATAGCTAAAACTCGATCTTGCAGACACAAAAAGACTAGTACAAATAGCTGACAAAAACAAACTCATAGAGCCCAATAGGCTCAAGGAACCAGTTGATAGACAGCTTAAAGGCGGGACCAGAGAGCCAGAGCTCATCCCCCTCAAACACAAAAAAAAGAGAAAGAGAGAGAGGGAGAAGAGAAAGAGAAATAGAGAGAAGAGAAACAGAGAGAGAAGAGACACTAATAATCTAGCACAAGGTTCTTTCATTGCAATTCTTTCCAGAGGTAATAACGTGGAGGCAGCCGCCAGTTCCCGGGAGCCCCCGTGACTTACACACTCACTCTGATCTGAATATCAAACCTAAATATTACCCGCAACGAACACAGTAAAAGAGACCCAATTTGTATTGCTTCTTAGCAATAACTATCTGAAGGAGAACAAATGTGTTGACGTGACTATGACGAGAATATAATAAAACTCCATAAGTAACTTTAATGAATGAGACAAATTGGGAATAAGAACTATCTGATCATATAGGAATGCAAATGAGAACAAACCGCAACAGAGATTATATAGACCAATTGTGGGGACAACAACTTTTATATGGTAACCGCACTCGAAGCCGGTCAGTACCAGCTTTAATTAATAACAAATTTTAACGGAAAGAAAAAGAATCGAGTTTTGAAAGTATCGCATTATCAGTGACAAGGAAAATTCCAATGAAAAAGAAAAAAATTAACATTCTAGCGGGGAAAAACTAAATTACCCCGACACTAATAACAGATTGGTGGAATGTAAGAAAAATGAAGTTTTGCCCATTAATACCCCGAGAGTTTATCGGGCCGGCCACAGAGATGTGTGAAATTTTTAGTGCCGTCGTAAATTGACCTGAGCGCGTTTGGCGCAAATAATCCCAACTCATTATGCATAATCTAATTTATGAAACCCTGTCCAGTGTGCCGGTGCAATAGTTCAGGGGATATTGCTGGTTTTAAACACCATTCTGTACACCACAGTGCGTGGTGACGCAACCTGTCCTTTTAAAAAGAACGTCGCTTTTGGCCGTTTGCCCGTATGGCCGAATTTGGACGTAATTTGAAAATGAAGGTGACATGCGGCTTTTGTAAATATCCAGTTATCCTCCGAAAAATACTTTTGTAATGTTTTAAAAGACCTTACATTTACATGGTCCTACTCTAATGCAGAGGACTCCAAACTTATGCTGTCGTGTATTGTACACATTTCCTGGGGGTCCAAGGAAAATAATTAGTTTTACACATGAGTAACGAAGCTACGGGAGTTATCAGGAAGTGATCATGACTAAGAAAGAAATGTGATGATGGATACTTTAATACGATCGTGTCTGATGTGTTCCAATTGAGTGATACATGTTGATGTATACAACAGCCAAATTAGTTCTTCAAAATATTAATATTCATAATATACATGTTCCTGGGAGACGATGAAAAAGGGTATTATCAGGGGAAAGCGCCAAGCCATTACGACTACATAGCACTGGGAAGGGGTCAGGATAAGGATTTGGGATGGGACGGAGGGGGAAGGAATGGTGCCCAACCACTTGGACGGTCAGGGATTGAACGCCGACCTGGAAGAAGCGAAACCGTCACTCTACCGTCCAGTCCAAGTGAAAAAGAAAAAATCTTTCAAGACCTCTACGGGTAGGTAGTCACTCAATGTAACAGAATCTAAAGTCACTCAATTGGTGCCAGCGTACCTCAGGGCAATGTACTTGGCCCTATATTGTTGATCCAGGCACTCTGATCAACTCTACTACACTACATTCCTCAAGCTCATACCTAATGCTCATGACTCAACTGCAACCTTTTCGTGAAGAAACAAATGACAATGGTTAAGAGCCAATAATGACATGTTGCAGCAAATATCTACCCCTGGGTAGGTTATCTTGAGGTTATCTTGAGATGATTTCGGGGCTTTAGTGTCCCCGCGGCCCGGTCCTCGACCAGGCCTCCACCCCAAGGAAGCAGCCCGTGACAGCTGATTAACACCCAGGTACCTATTTTACTGCTAGGTAACAGGGGCATAGGGTGAAAGAAACTCTGCCCATTGTTTCTCGCCGGCGCCTGGGATCGAACCCAGGACCACAGAATCACAAGTCCAGCGTGCTGTCCGCTCGGCCGACCGGCTCGTTGGGTAAGCAACAGCAGATATACACGGCTGAAGAAAACGTGGTGGTGGTAATGATAATTAGACGGCATAATATTGCAACGGGGACTAGCATATAGATGTGACAACACGGTAAGTGTTCAGTGATGAAGTTGTCATCATGGAGATGAAGTTCGAGTCCTTAAAGTAAACAAATAGCCACATGATTAACCAAGCAAGGCAACTATCATTCCTTCTCGACAGCAGTGGATATGAAACCTTAAACGAAGTAAAAATTTGCTTCCACCTGAAGTATGCAGAGCTTCCCTACATAATTACTCCCCACACTACCACTGTTTATCCAGTTTCTGGATAAGGTAGAGAACAGAGAAGACTCAATCGTTTCTAGTTTTGACCCATTTGAGCTCAATTGGCATTACTGTTGTGTGTTTAAGGCCCTTTATAAAGGGGTTTTCTTATTGCCTAATATCGTGGATCCCGAAAAGTTGGGAACCACAATACATGGCGTTCAGCAATCAACAGCTTCATGCCTCAAGACCCACCCCCTGCAAGATCCACCCCCTCCAAGACCCACCCCCTGCAAGAGTCATACGTTTTCAATAAGACATGCCAAGTTACACATATTTACGTCGAATTAAAAATGATCCATGAAGCTAATATATAAATACTCGATACACTTAAGGCTTCTTTATCCAATATTCCAGCCGGTCAACTCATCATGGTATAATAAAACCAATAAAGCAGATGAATGTTATACAACTTAATATGCATCTAATTACGGATTGCGGTAAAAAGATTTACAGACCATCTAATTACGGATTGCGGTAAAAAGATTTACAGACCATCTAATTACGGATTGCGGTAAAAAGATTTACAGACCATCTAATTACGGATTGCGGTAAATAGATTTACAGACTGCATCTAATTACGGATTGCGGTAAAAAGATTTAGACTAACTACGGTTTGGAGTAAATAGATTTAAAGACTACGTCTAATTACGGTTTGCGGTAAAAAGATTTACAGATCGCACAACACAAACGTTTACGAGTCGCCCTGCCTCCCAAACAAGCTCTTGGGTCATAGAAGCTCACACGCGATTGTTAAATGGGGAGAGAGAGAGAGAGAGAGAGAGAGAGAGAGAGAGAGAGAGAGAGAGAGAGAGAGAGAGAGAGAGAGAGAGGGGCTGGTCGACGTATCCTACGACGTGCAAGAAGTAACAGCTCCGAGCGAACTATGTCAGGTGCAGAGTGGCGGAAGAAATGCCAGTAAATATTCCTCTCACGAAGAGGGTGACGGAGGAGAAGGGATACGAACCGGGCCAGGAGTGTGGTCTATGAACGTGCATCCAGGTGGCGCGGCGATTACTTTTGGGGGGTCGTCGCACGGCGATTAATTTTCGGGGGGAGTTCGTCGCGGCGATTACTTTTCGGGGGTCGTCGCATCACTCGCTAGAATTTCGAGAAAAAACGGAAACATAACTGCCAAAATGTGTATAGTTACTTTAGCTTGCCCACTGGAATCCGTGGGCAAGTGTTTTCGGTGGGCAAGTGTCGCCGGTGGGCAAGTGCCAGTGGGCAAGTGTCGGTGGGCAAGTGTCGGTGGGCAAGTGCCGGTGGGCAAGTGTCGACGGGCAAGTGCCGGTGGGCAAGTGTCGACGGGCAAGTGCCAGTGGGCAATTGTCGACGGGCAAGTGCCAGTGGGCAATTGTCGACGGGCAAGTGCCGGTGGGCAATTGTCGATGGGCAAGTGCCAGTGGGCAATTGTCGATGGGCAAGTGCCAGTGGGCAATTGTCGATGGGCAAGTGCCAGTGGGCAATTGTCGATGGGCAAGTGCCAGTGGGCAATTGTCGATGGGCAAGTGCCAGTGGGCAATTGTCGACGGGCAAGTGCCAGTGGGCAACTGTCGACGGGCAAGTGCCGGTGGGCAATTGTCGACGGGCAAGTGCCGGTGGGCAATTGTCGATGGGCAAGTGCCGGTGGGCAAGTGTCGGTGGGGCAAGTGTCGGTGGGCAATTGTCGACGGGCAAGTGCCGGTGGGCAATTGTCGACGGGCAAGTGCCGGTGGGCAATTGTCGATGGGCAAGTGCCAGTGGGCAAGTGTCGGTGGGGCAAGTGTCGGTGGGGCAAGTGCCAGTGGTATGGGCAAGCACAGGTTCATATATCTATGAACCTGTGAAGAATTAAAATTAAACCTTTACAAAACGAAAGATCGAGATGAACGATTTTTGTCCCAGGATGTCAACTTGTACGCCGATGTCAACCACCACATGTCACTTATGCAACATTGTTTAATTTATTTGCAATATCAATGCCATTTAGAATACTGCACACCTCGATATTGGAAACTAAAGGTCACGAAAGAGTCAAGAACCTTCATGTCTAAATAAACTAAAAAAAAAACAATTCTGCAACTATTATGAGCTTAATTAAAATTTTCAACAGCAAACCTATTTAAAATTTTAAACAGCAAACCTATTTAAAATTTTCAACGGCAAACCTATTTAAAATTTCGATTATCTTACCTCTGTCTGCTGCTGGCCACGCTAAGTACCTTGGTGATGCAGTTATATCCAGCAAAGAAAAATTACCCGTGTGTAAACGCACTTCGTAAATAAGTTCACTATTTCCTATTTTACCGGTATAGATATCACTCACACGTACCGACGCTCACAAGCGTAAACAGAGTTACTCTCGATGTTACTCTCACAAGTGCTTGTGAGCAACTGACTGTCCGTATCTGCTTCAGTTTCATTCGGAACACAGCCGAACTTCGAGGCAAATTACTCGTTGGCTGAGAAGCAATTGGCTGTTTCTTGACCAGCGCGTCATCAAAATAAAGGGGTTGCCTGATTTATAATATGTAAGTCAAAAGCTGACATTAAAATATGTCACTATTTAATTAAAGTCCACTTGACCGTGTTGGAAGATATTGCTCTAGATATACGGACTTCATTTTAAGTCTGAATTGTAAATACTTAATAAATCAACGCAAACTTACACACATCTGCAACTCAACCTTATCAACACAGGCCAAATGCCTTTATTGATAAACATTAAACAGGAATTTTCCCAAATATAAATATATATTAGCATATTGTGCATATTTAGGCACTGGTTAGGTTAGGTGTTTAGGTTCTGTTGATGATTATTTGTATTTGTAGTACGTGGGTGAAGCATTTACAGCGTTGTGGTTCGAATAAAAGTCGTAGCTCGACCTTGCCGGAGGGCCTCATCCGGTACCCGTCTGCTAAGCGGAGGAGATTTTGCTCATGCCATCTAGAGTAGGGCAAACGCTGTAGCCACTCCGTCTAGAGCAGCTAGGGGTAGATCCGAGGCTTCTGGTTTCTGCGATGCTTGCCAGAAACCAGGGACCCTGGGCCACATATCCCAAGCATGCCACAAGACACACGAGGCTCGGGTGAAACGTCATGACGATGTCACCCGGTTCGTAGCCGGCCACCGGCGGCAAAGAGGTTTCGAGGTGGAACGTTCGTATACCGGATGGAGGGACCTTCTGCAAGTCTGACATCATAGCTAGCAAACGTGACGAGGCCTTCATATTAGACACCCAGGTCTCTGCTCATAACTTCCCACTCTCCCGTCCACATCAGAGCAAGTGCGACAAGTACGGCACCCTAGAGATCCTTCAATATTGATCCTTCAATCCGATATATTCCCGGATTGAAGGATCAATCCGGGAAGCACACAGCATCCGCCTCTTCTATAATCCTTAATTGGAGAGGTGGATGGTGCAAGGAGAGTGTGCGTGGTCTACAGGATATGGGACTCACCAAGAGCGACCTTAAGATTTGCTCTGTAAAGGCCCTGACCTGGACATATTCCATCTACAGAATATGGTCCAAGACCACATCTAGGGGCAGACCACCTTAGTCCCAGGATCACCGTGCACTGGGTGCATAAGGGTCAATATAATCTTGTTAAGATGAACCGCAGTCAGGATAGCTGGCAGCCAACTATCTAAGCAGAGTCGTCATCTGGAGTACCACTTCTCCGAATGGTTTCTCACAAGAGGGTGGATGACCTGGCCGGAGCCCACGAGTGGGTAAGGTGACCAGAGGGACCGCCCATGCGCATACATGACTACCCTCTCGCTACGGGGCCTTGCTAGGAGCAAATGCTTTGAATTGTTTTCCATGTATGCTGCTGTCAAATCAAGTTTTCCATGTATGCTGCTGTCAAATCAAGTTTTCCATGTATGCTGCTGTCAAGTCAAGTTTTCCATGTATGCTGCTTGTTGTTTTGCCTTCAGCATTAGTTCTTTTTTTAATGATATACTGTGCACCTCTCCCTGTGTGTGCTGTGTCCCATATAAGAAAAACGAAATAAAAAAGAATTTTTCATTTTTACATGTTATTATTATCATCTTAACTCTTGTGGGTTGATATGACCATCTACCATTTTTTAGATATTTTGATATGACCATTGACCATTTTTTAGATATTTTAGTTTGTGTTTGATAGGGAATTAGGTATGCTTAGGGGTGCCTTCTCGCCATGCCCTGTGGCTGGGGGATTGGTGCCCTGAAGCTACATATAAACCCTATACCCCCCCTAAGTGGCTAGGGAAGTTAAGGGACAAACATTAACCATAACATATAAATATATATACAGGCTCCCTGTCCTCGACAACATAAATTAGCATTATCAACATGACAATTAACCTCATACCTATCAGCAACTAACCACATAACCAGCATCTACAACACCACAAAACAACCACAACACCAACACTCACCAAACCATACAACAACCAACCCCAAGTTCAACGTGAATTCTTCAGTGAAACAAGTTGTGTTATATCAAGGAATGGATCAAGGCTCCACCTTAATATAAGTTTAGGCTCCTAAGTTGAGGCAACTTGTTGCCAAGTTCCAAACTTTGTTTATGAAATGACCGCCGCTGCTTCGCTCTCGTTAACATATTAAAACTTTTCTCTTTTGCATCTGACGAAGCGTGTGGTTGTGTTATCTTTGTGTTGCTCTGGTTGTTTTGCTTAAGAAAAATACCATCTATGTTGTTAGTGTAATATTAACACCAGCAGTTGTGGTATTACCAGAGTAACACTACCAGCAGTTGTGGTATTACTAGGAGTAACACTACCAGCAGTTGTGGTATTACCAGGAGTAACACTACCAGCAGTTGTGGTATTACCAGGAGTAACACTACCAACAGTTGTGGTATTACCAGGAGTAACACTACCAGCAGTTGTGGTATTACCAGGAGTAACACTACCAGCAGTTGTGGTATTACCAGGAGTAACACTACCAGCAGTTGTGGTATTACCAGGGTAACACTGCCAGCAGTTGTGGTATTACCAGAGTAACACTACCAGGAGTTGTGGTATTACCAGGGTAACACTACCAGCAGTTGTGGTATTTCCAGGGTAACACTACCAGCAGTTGTGGTATTACCAGAGTAACACTACCAGCAGTTGTGGTATTACCAGAGTAACACTACCAGCAGTTGTGGTATTACCAGGAGTAACACTACCAGCAGTTGTGGTATTACCAGAGTAACACTACCAGCAGTTGTGGTATTACCAGAGTAACACTACCAGCAGTTGTGGTATTACCAGAGTAACACTACCAGCAGTTGTGGTATT